AGTCCATGGACAACGTGAAATGGGCAAGGGTTGGATTCAGCCATTGACCCTAAGAGAAGTTCTTGAAACACTCCCAGAGTCTTTGTTAAAACAGTTTATATACTATATGTGCTTCTATCTTAGAAAAGAGCTGGCCATGCTGGTATACAGTGGTTTCAGAATAGATGGCACAATCTCCAAAGATGTCTTAGACCACTGCTGGTCCAGTCCATTGCACCACCCTTCAAAGCCCCACGCGCACGGAGACGCCAGCGAGACACGGGACGAGGCTTCGCCGAGACACATGTGAGTCTCGGTTTGTCGCGCGCTAAAGGCACGGATCACAATGCCCATGTACGCCTCAGTGGGAAGGTGGAGAGCCAAAACTGCACCGAAAGAGGTTTGACTCACCCCGGCTGCGAACTGCTCTTAGCTAAGTGGTTTCATGACATGAAAAAGCATGTTACGACCCCAAATGTCAAAGCTGGCTGGCAGTTGAACCCCTGGCTTCCATGCCAAAGTGCTTTGGCCTCTTCCTGCTTCTGCTTGTTCTTCCGAGCCTGGCTCCATGTATCTTGGGGCGGTTGGAACACTTTTTCAGACACACACACAAAGAGAACAACACAAAACCAAAGGCAACCGGCAACACCCTTGGCAAAAAATTCCAGTTGACCATGCACAAACTGAACCACAGTTTAGAGCCAACTCTCCCTGTTTGTACAGGTCAACCATCTTCTAATCTCTTCCAATCTTGGCCATTTTCCACACCATGTGTTGTTGATGTGTCAGATCAACCACAGATCAACCATCCTTGCCCGCCTCAGTGCGTGTCATGCCACCGGTCTGCAGCAGCGAGATTGGGCCAAAGGGGCCCTGGAAATTGGAGCGATGTTTGTTTTCGGGTCTGTTGGAAGCGAGTTTGGCGGCGGTTTGGGTGTTTTGGGTGTTTTTCACCAAAGCTGTTGGCAGTCCGTCCAGACTTGGAACGAAGCTGCAAGCGCATGGCAGCAAGCGAAAAGGCGCTTGCTGCATCAGCTAGAGTCAGCTAGAGCTATGGCAGCAAGCCCCTTTGATAGACAAGGCTGCAGGCTCCTGTGATTGCTGGAGCTTCACCAGGTTGGTGGAAGTCGATCAGAAGAAACAAAAACACTACATCTTTCCTGGCTGAAGGGACGAGGCGCCCAGCCACTGGAGCATCCTCTTTCACGCCTGTGGTGAGTTGAATTTGTCACGTTGGTCATTGGTGGGGCCAACAGCTGGTCCAAATCTTGTCGAATGAGTTGTGGACATCTTTGATTTGATGAGTCTCTTTGGCAACATCTTTCTCTCCCATACGACTTGCGGACATGCAGCCATGCCACTTGTATTAACTATGTGTCGCCCTTCGATGAGGCTCGATGCTTCACTCTGACCATATGTCCCGTCCCACTCGCGCCTCCGCCCGGGGCGGCGGCGGCGCGGGATAGAAGCGGAAGAGGTTGGCCAGGCGTTCCACGCCTTCCCAGAAGCTGTAGCGCACCCCGGCCGCCTCGGGCGTATCCTTGGTTCTCATTTGCATCTGCGAGGCGCGCGCCGCAAGCCGTGGTTCTGTTTGTTTGGGCTGCGGGTGGAGGGGGACAGTGAAGGACGGGTGAACAAATTGTAAAGGTGTTGAATTGAGTTGCGCAAAGCATGCGAAAAAAGAAGGCTGCACCAGGACTGACACACTCCTAAGAACTGGTGATGAGCAAGTAACTCCGCCAGCCACAGCCATAAGTGGCCACAAGTGAGCATTCTCTAAGAGTGGCTTCTAGCGGGTTGTGGCTATAACGATGTGTTTGCCAATCCGTTCGAGTCATGAAGGACAACGACAACAACGACGACAACGGGTGCACAACATTGTGATCTGAATGAGCTCATGACATCTAATGTGGGATTAATGACCTTGTCATTCCAAGTGTGTGAACACATCATGATCATCATATGATCATGGTTCATTCTAATATTGATCTGATATCACCTGGTCCAATTCAATAGTCCTGCAGCTCCCTTGATATCAATCTCCCTTGGTTTATTAAAGGCTTAGTTGCAAGTTGCAACACTTGACGTTCATGGAACTGGGTGCGGCTACATATCATTGTGTAAGCTATGCATGCATGTTTTCAGCCGATTCTTTCTTTTGCCCGTAGCTTTGGATGGGATTCTTTTTTGGGCTGAATCCCGGGCCAAGTCTTGCACCAATCCCTCGGCTCACGCTGCTCACTACGCAGGATTCCATCAGTCCTCGTGCCCAACCCTCTCGGATAGAGAATTGTGAACCAGTGCCCTATACGCCCTAGAGCCATCCAAAAGGCAAATGTATCTTTCTTCAAACGTTCTGGGGGAACCAGCTGGCAAACTCCAGTTAGAAAAACTGGTTCACCGGCCTTCCTCAGCAGGGCCTCAGGGCCTTCGCCAAAGGCTCCGATTCCAACTCCTCCAAGGGCCGCGAGTGCTCTTCGACCAAGATCCCTTTCGCCTTAATGCCTCGTTGCCCAAGGAAGCCTCAGAGGTGCCAGGACGTGCCCCCAACGGCGAGGGGTGTCCAGCTGAAGCGTCGGTGGTCTGAGGTCTTTCAGGTTTTTCAGAGCGACAGTTATCCCAAACACTCCATTCGGTATTTCAAAGATGGCGTGTCTGGGTATCATCATCAATGATCAAATCAAAAATGCACAAATATTTCCAGGGATCTGCTTCAATATACTAGCATTTGGGCGAACATGGGTGCTCTCAAGTCTAGAGAATGTATAAGGATCGTGTTTTCTTGAGGTGCTGTTCATTGACAAGTGCCATTCCCAAAACAAGGGGAACTTAAACTGCTTGGTGGTTTCAATTCACTGGTTGAAAATATTAGCAGTTGGGATCAATCATCTCAAGTAAGTAAAAGGTTGAACAAAAATATCCGAAAACACCCGCCGTGATTTTCCATGTGTCAGACCCTGACATGTGTCTTCCAGGCCCATGAAGCCCCGGCTCTGAGCCAGTGTACATGTTGAAGCCAGTGAAACCCATTGAAAGACCTCCAAAGAAAAGCCGGAAAGACCATGTGCCTCGCTGAGAGAATCAAGTTAATTGTAGAATGAAGGGGTCGACTTGATTTCTCATTGAACCTCCTCCCCAGGCCTTTTGTAGCGTTTATATAAACCTCTTCAAATGGTATTGTTAAATAAAGAAACAACCGTCTACAGCGTCCAGCCAAATGCTGTGATCAATTATCTTACATCCAGCCACATCGACGAGCATACCAAGCCATATGAAAAACAAACAATTGACTATATAGCCCCCCAAATAGATAGAAAGGATCTATCTTCCAGGAACATCCCCACTCAAAATCTTTTGGACATCGTTTCTATATATCGTTTCTACATATATCCATAGATTCTCCACTCAAAATCCTATTCCCTTAATAACCATCGTTTCGTCTTCTCGTTTCCATTATTTAATGGTATATACAGCTATCATGTTCTATCCATGAACGGGGGCCATGAACGGGGGACGAACGCCCAGCTGCGCTGATCGTCGAAGTCAGAGAGGTCCTGGACGGATCGACCAGAGACCCGAGAGGAGCGGGTGAGGCCTAGCTGAGTTGAGGTCTATAGCCTTTCCAGGGCCAACTGGAATAGGAGTTCTATGGAGTCTCTATCAAGTTATACAAGTGGAGTCTATCATGCAAGTGGAGTTCAGTTGGAGTTCTATCATACAAGCGGAGTCTAGTCAGTGAGGCTTCTTTGGAGTTCGCAGTATCATGAAATGCTGTTTTGAAAGGGTAGCTTGATGCAAAGGGACGAAACATGATTTCAGTTCCGACTGCCGTGCAAACCGCGAAATACAACTCACGTGTTCCTGATGTGTTCCTATGGCTTCCTGTTTTCCGCCCCCATTGCTTCAAAACATCTTCAATACGTTTCCTGCTCAAAGGGTTCGAGAAGTCCTTCCTCACCGGTTCAAGAGAACAATGGCCCTGATCGTTTTTCATGGTTTTCGGATCCTTCCATGTCAGACAAACAAGCACGACGTCCACAAACACCATGCCCCCCAAAGCCAGGTCTCTCTCCCACTGGTCCCCGAAGGCCGGTGTTTCCAGCATCCAAAAACAACGAGAAACCAGCACCTGTCCGAGGCACCTTTCCTGCAAACCCTCCAATGCCATGGACATGTTGTTCATGTGAACCCATCTGTAGTTGAGCTCATTTGAGCTCTGAAACCTGAATTGCTGTGGATCCAAAAGCGCAAAACTCCTCCTGTGTGGCATCCCTTGCTTCGTCTACTCTACACAGCTCACCTCTAACAAAGCACACCAAAAACATCCAAAAACACTGGGAGAAAAAAAAACTGACTCCCACCCACCACATCCTTTCGATGTTCTTCCTCACCTTTCTTTCACGGGCGACCGCCGCTCAGCACGCCATATTCACGCTGGTGTCCCACCCCCCAACCCTTGTCGTCGTCCACGTCGCGACCGGGCGCCAGTGGTGTCGGGTACGTCGTTCGCCCGGTCCTCGTGCTGCTTGGGCCCCAAGGACCGCAGCTTGCTGGGCCGCACGTCCACGTCGCAGAAGCTCTCGCCGTCTAGCAAGGGCGAGAGCGGGAGCCGACACGGGGGGGAGGGCGGTGTGGAGCACAGCTTCGGGGAGAGGAACCCGGGACATCGAGCGCTGTGACGTTGAATGGTCGCCCCTAAGGGTTTGAGTCTCCGAAGCGGAGGTCTCCCCCCAGGCAACGGAGGTGCGAAGTCACCTCCGTTCGAGCATCCGACCAGCAGGAACCTGGAGCTATGGGTAGCAAAAGACCAGGAGACCCGACGAACGCATGGTATCTATAGGGGTGCCGAAACATGGTGGGAAGGGGCGTCTATGAACCAAGCCAAGAAAGGTCTACACACCACCCACTTTGTGTTTGGTAGAATCAATTGAGCTTGTGGACTTAGCACCTCTCAAACAAAGACCCAGAAACTCCCAAACACAGAACCATTAAGTATACTTACATACATTGGACTTGGAGTGCTTGATTTCAGGGCTAAATGTGAATGTGCCAGTCCCAGTCCCAGGTCGTGTGTGGGAGTTGTTTAGGTGCCGTCTCTTCAACGCCTGATGAATTCACCAGCCCACACAAACAGGCCGATACATTAGAAGGTTCCACTCTTGCCGTTCCCAGCACGCCCCTGATGTCACCGCGGCTTGCTACCTTTGCGGTTTAAAAGGTTCGATGGCACTGGCTACTCTGAAACCACTGTAACCAAAAGGACCGGAAGTCACGTGCAAAGAGTTCAGGAGAGACCTTTTGATCAGGGCACCAATCTGCCAAGAAACAATTTCATCAGTTGACATGACCTCCAAAAACAAGTTAATCATAAAACGCTAAAACAATCACTAACAAACGCATTCCACCTTCCTCAAATTCCACCTCCGTCCTCGTCCATCCTCATCCTCACACCAGCCACTAGGGTCAGCATCCGTCCTCCATCCTCACACCAGCCACCGACCTCCATCCATCTCTCGCCCGCACCGAGAAACCCAAGTGATAGCAGGCCAGATCGCTCTTGTGCGGCAGGATGGCGCCAGTGGACTCGCGTCGCGTCGATGCGCGTCGATGCGCGTCACTTGGAAGAACTCCAAAGGTCACTTTGAGGGTCCTGGTGCTTAGTAGGGAATAAGGGAATGAGCCCCCAGTAGAGACTCTATTGGATCCATTCCCTCATTCCCTGCTAAGCACCAGTCACTTTGGATCTCAAAAGGTCACTTTGAGGGTCCTGGTTGATCTCTTTTGGAAGTTTGGTTGACCAGCCGTTCATGAATTGTGGCTCTTTTTCCAGGATGTGGACCAGGGGCCATGCCAGCCACTCTAAACCGAGTTCCAAAGTTGGATGGCAACTTGACGTTTCCCTTCCTGATGTGGGCCCTATAAGCCCTGAAACCTCTCAAAGACCCTAAGAACACGGAAACATTATAAACATAGTTAGTGGACCTCAAGTAGATAGTGGCACGGTTTCCAAAACATGTTTAGTGGGGATCTGCTTTTCTATCAATTTGAGGGTCTAGAAAATAGAATGAAATAGAATCAACAACATCCCAAGTCTTTCCCAACAACCCCAGCATGCACCGGCATGCACAGCATGGCCTTCGTCACCAGGCTGACCAACTTCTTGCAAAGCACCTCGCACTCGACCCAGACTTTGCCGTCCCTCACCCTTAGCACGAACGGAATGCTCCACGTCGAATGGAATGGTCCTCCTGCCTCACAGGAAGTGCGCCGTCTTCCTCATCTTCCTCTACACTGGAAGCGGGTGGCATGGCTGGCGCCATCCACGTAAACTATGATAATTCCAGGTTGGCTGAGTGATGCCAAGGTTGGTCGCCAATTGAAGCTCCAAGGTTGGTGCAGTTGGAAGGTGCCCCCCCAATGTCAACCGCCTCGGCTTCTCCTGCAGCACCAGAAACAGTCCAACCAGTGCAGGACGGGGTCACCCACCCCGTGAGCTTTGCACCAACCCAGTGAGCTTTGGGGCATTGCCAAGGCATCCCACCCCCAGGAGCCTGAGAGGCGAACGGAGAAACGAACGACTTCCGTCACATTCGCCGATGATCCGTCATTTTGGTCGAGTCGATGCCCAGCAACATGGAACAGGAGCATCAATGTATGGATCAGTTAATATACATATAATATATACATAACAGTTACATAAGTTACATAAAGTATAATATACATTAATTAGGGTCATAAATGGGGTATATAACCATTTCATATCATGGTCTGGATGGAACAGGACCAGCCAGGGTGGAAAGTCCGGCTTTGGATGGCGTCTTCTAAGGCATCCGGCTTTGGACCAGTCGGGTGAACGAAGCGTCTGGGTCAAAAGCATCCGCCAGAAATCGCTCCATTTCGCTTAGCTCCAAGAATCGCAATACCAGTGATTTGCCTGAATCGGTCCAGGCTCTTCTCGTCCGCGGATAAGTGCTGCTCGATCTCCTGGCGACAGCAAAAATCAAAGCAAAATACCCTCCGTCCAAATATGGGCACCAGTCGTTCGCATGTTGGGTTACGTTTTTGCTTCTGCATCCATGTATATCCATGCATGTGAATCCCTTTTTTCATGTCCCCAGGAGCCACCTCCTCCGAACTCCGAACCTTTCAATTAGGGCCGGGCCTATACGGTTTCTTGGGGTCAGAGCGCTCCACAAGAACATGTTTCACATGGTTTCCCTGTAGAAACTGGTCTTGCTGGCCATCCCATGCTTCCCCTGACAATTTGTTCTTTGTTGGAGTGTAGAGCAAGGGTTCCATGCTAAGGACATTGGACAAAAGCTTACAGTAACGGTTCTATTGCGACACTCTTCTAGTCTAGGGTTTATGTCTATGTCATGCTCGCTCGTTTCCATGTGACCGACGGCACGCCTGCCGAAAAGCAGGTGGTCGACTGGAGGCGGCTGGTATGATGTTTCACTTGAGTCACTTGAGGTTGAACTCACACCAGATTCTGCTTCTAACATCCAGCAGGAGACTTCCAAGACGCCCACTTCCTGCAAGAAACATGGGCTCGCTTTCTGCAGCGATGGGCTCGCGCCTGGACCTGTTCTCACGACCTGGTTAGGGAAAAAAGCACCTTCCACACTCCCCTTCCGAAAACCACCACCCCGCAGTGTGGGCCGCAGTGTCGTGCCTGCCAAGTGGTGTATTTTTCCACCTCCTCGTGCTTCTCACCTTCATTCAACAGCCGGCAGGTGTCTTCCACGATCTCCTGACGAAGCCGGCAGCCGGACTTTCATTGAACCCCCAGATATCTAGAAGCAGATTGGGGGTCCACTTTTGGGACAGGTTCTGCCCAGTTACCAAGAGGGGATGAGGTTGTATTTGGTGCCAAGGGCGCCAGTCGAAGGGTCCAGCCATATCTGCGGGCAAAACAGAGCCGCGATCGTCTTGGCACGCCGATATCGGCTGACAAACGGTGTGACGCATCGAATGCATCTTCTTGGAAACGCATCCGGGAATCCGGCCGACTCACATCCTGCCGAATCAATCGAACCAGCAAACTCTCACCACCGGCGAAGTCGCCCTACCCGGTCGGACACCACCGGTCCCGGCGAAGCGGAAGCGTCGGTGGCCCGATCGAAGAATTGGGGCGCGAGTGGCCCGAGAAGAGCAGTTTCTCATGAACGGATCCCAGCTGTGGAAGGTCTATGATCCATCTGTTTAGTTTCTGAATGAGCTATACCCCGCATGAAGCAAGGAACAGGATGTGCTGCAGATCGGATGTGCAGACCGCTCCTTGTCACACAAGGGCAGGAACTCCTCCAAGTTCAAAAGCTCCTTCGATTTGGTCGTCTGCAAGCGTGCGTGAGGGCAGCAAATCAAACATGTCTCTCGCTGATGTCCTTCCCAAAGGGTGTCAGCATCTTTATGTCGTAAGCAGATGGCACTGGCACCCCCAAGATGTCTACGACAAGTGGAGGTCCTATCTGAAACCACCTGGACTTAACTTGGGTCCTTGTGCTATCTACTCTCCACGTCCTCGTGCTCGTTCAACGATCAGGGCTCTTGGCCGAACATGTCCCCTCTTTGGGGCAACGAGTCAATTAATGTAGACTCTTGATTAATAACCCCCCCCCCAGGCCTGTCAAATGGGTGACAACAAATAACTCTTGAAGACAGTGTTTCAAAGGATCTCAGTGTTGTCCGCGCTCTCCTCTGGATCGCCTTCGTCGCCTTCTGCCATGTCTTTTGCTCGAACCTTCTGTGCTGCCACTGGAGCGGGCAAGTCCTGGATGACTGGGCGACCGTTTCTGAAGATGCCTGTTTGATGATGCGGCTGGAGCACATCGAGGCTTAGTTATAAGTACCACCGGCGGATTTTCATCGCGACGGAGACCTGGAGAGTCTGGTGCTGACCCTCTCTGTATAATATACTATACACATACTATACAATATATATGTATACTATATACATGCATGCTATATTATATATATAACACTGTGCACTACACTGTGCCTGTATATTTATAGCATATATTAATATAACATATGTTTTTTTTCATGTATATGTACATTCGTGCAGTAACATGCATGTTTGCTCGAGCAAGGGATAGTGCCCTCTCGACACCAGCGGCTGACTGGACCAAGTGGTGCACACATCCCAAAACCGCACATCCCATGGGTCAGGTGACCATAGTAAGCATTGATTTACACTGGATCAAGGGAAAACTCGGCCGGCAGTAGGACCTGAAATGTTCAAACACTCGCTCTATAACCAAAGATCATCAAAGATCCACTCCAGGGTATCATGGCTACGTGGATGGCATGCCACCTCGGGTGACGATTTTCCGTTTTTGTTTGGTTCACTTCGATGATGATTTCAGGGAGTGTATACGGTTGCTCAATGCGCAAAACAATGAATTGCTGCTACCTGAGGCTCGTTCTTTTCAGCTCATGGTCCTATGATGTCTTATGCACGTGTGCTCTTGGGGTGGGTAAAAAGTCTCACACCAGCTCAAATACCTGGAACATCAACCATATTGGTTCACAGCCCCAAGTTATATACAGTACTTCTTTGTTGCTGTTTTTGCTTCTTTGTTGTGTTCTTGCTTCCTTCGGGGCCACTTTACCTTCGGAGGGAGGTCGGGGCCAACCAGTGCTTGAATTTTTGATGCAAGTCGTCTCCTCCACATCCTGTTCTTCGACTGGTTCAGCATCTTGTTGTTCACCAGGACCAGCATCTTCTCCCACTTGCCCCTCTTGTTGATCAGCTTCTTCTTCGTCGTCCTCCTCTTCACTAGGTGCTAGTTCTTTCACTTGCGCTTCTTGATTGGGTTCTTCCTCTCCTTGATCAGGCTCTTTCGTTTCATCAGGCCCTTCTTCAAACCGCTGAACTGCTGTTGAATGCAGCTCTCGAAAGGCCTTGCTGGGCGACGTCGGATTTTCCGGTGGGTGACACGAGGGCAGTGAGCACGGAGCATGGAAGGGAACCTGCTGAACTTCCCGGCGCCGAGTTCAGTCCTGTACAAGTACCCAGACATGCTCCATGAGCAACGCCCAACCGGAATGACTCTCTTTCTGGGCCCGAACTCTCAGGGGTCATCACTTGTGGGTTTAACGAAGAAGGTTTCAATGGTATGGACCAATGCCCCTGCATCCTGCTGAACCAGACATTCTTTATATACATCTTACTAAGTGGTGCGTGAGGTCCAACCACCTGAAACCAAGTGGTACCGACCATAGGAGGTAAAACCATGACCGCGTGTATTTAAGGTGGTCAATGTGAACCATGCGAACGCACATGTTAGCACCAAGTTCCGACACCCTGATACTGTCTGCAGGACTATGGGCCCTATACTCTGAAACATTGGTGCGATGTCCGACACCCAATCGACACCATCATGTCTCCAGTGAGAAATAGCTGTTTCTCTGCTAGGGTTGCTGTTTGTTCCAGAGTATTCCATGATTGGCCCTCCAAAGAAACGCTTTATAAAATATATATGGGTTGGTATTTAAAGAGCCCCCTCCCAAAGGAATTTGGTCCATATGGTCTATGATTACTTCTTCCAGTGTCTTGGGCCAAACGTAGCCATGTTCAGACCCAATCTGGTCCATCATCCCGTGGTACCACGCGGCCGGCCTGAGTCGAGTGCAGAAGGACGACCAGGGCAGCCAGCAACATGCGCATCGAAGTCATGGCTTCTGTGGATTGCGAAAACAACTACCGCACGTCCGACCCGAGATCGGCTGCAGAATCCACATGCGAATGCGGCCAAGCAATCGTGGACCGCATGCTGGCTCATGCTGGCGATGGGCGAAGCGAACTCTGAAAGGTGCCCAGCATGCGGCTCCACGGTTAGGCGGCGTGGGCACATGCCAAACACCGCATCGGTCCAGCTGGAGGATGTTCACTGCCCTAAGAATCCGGGTCCTCAAACACATAATAGCTTTTGGATGGCTTTGGAGGGTCCGGACGCCATGGAGGGCTACAGGATCCTTTGGGTGCGAAGGTTAGATCCACGATCCAACATGCCGTCGTCCATCCCCCAACGACCTCCTCCGGCCTCCCCTGAACCCCTCCAGAAGCACCGCGGTCGAAGCATCGAAGCAAAGCGGTTTGGGGATGGTTTTTGGGCGGTCGTTCCAGCAGCAAATCGTCCAACGTGGTTCGTTCGCCCCAACAATGGCTCGATGGGAGCTTGGATTTGCATAGGTAATGGAAAATCACCTCAAGCAAAACCAGGCTGGCATGGTGACCGATCAGTTTCGTGGTTGTTGATTTCAAAAAGTCCATGAGCCTTGTCACATCTTCCAGTTTCCATCGGGCCGAACGTCTGGATGTGGTCAAGCTCGGTCCTCGACCTGGTTCTTCATCTTCAGGCCAAAATCATTGAATTGGGTCTCGTGAAAGCTGGGGTGAGGGCTCAGAAAGCCTTATCATGATCCGTTGAGCCAAGCCGATGATAACTCCATTAAGAACCCAACCACTCCAAACAGTTGAACATGGACGTGACTCCCCCAAAAATGAATAGAGCATAATAAACCCTTATAAACCTAATACACCCTAGGGCTCCAAGTGCCTCCTCGGTCTTCGGACCCTCCTGGCACCTACCCCAGTCCCACCTTCTCACAAGGTACGACTGGATCCCTCAAGCACGTATACCATATGTATCCCTACAAGTCAAAGACCTCATTTTACTGGAAGATGGTCATACAAAACCAATACTTAAGGAGGTATATAAAAGACCAGGTTTTACTGGGTCTTTGGACTTCTAGGGTGTACAATACTACAGCCAGTCATTAGTATAGCATGTTTCTAGTACTTCCAAACGGCGCTTGTTGCTCCGTCAGGTCCTTGAACCCTCCGGTCCCCCCGAATGACCCAGCAGCTGCGGCGTCTCGCCCCACTGGTCCTTCATCACCATGGGCACCCCCCCCGAACTCGGTCGCCGCGGTGGGCGCCGGGTGCCTTGATCCCCCCCAAAGCTGGCGGCATCAATATGTAGATTTCATAGATTTTTACCATAACAAAAACAATAAATATAGAATCAGTAATATGTATTTAAGAATGCAAATATATTATGTATATTTGCTTTATTTTATATGTATATTTTTTGAATTGGACCCAGTGGAGGGCGCTTGGGGGGGCGTCCAAGAGTGAGGGCTTGGCTGGTGCTTTGGGATTGGTGATTTTCCAAAAAGACAAAAGTAGAACATATGTATGTAACGTCACAAATATGTGAGTGGAGTCATGGAATTAAGCCAACACCTCGTGTTCTTCTATATCGGAACTAGACACAACTGTGACAATTGGGACAATTGGGGAATTTATTGGCATCATATTTTTACTTGAGAGGAGGGAGACACGAAAGGTAGGACAGCGGGAAGAGAAGAGAACGCGAGAGGCAGGAACAAAAATGCAATGTTCGACATGGTGATTTATCCCCTCGGAGGCGACCTTTCGTAAGTATATGTTCATATGCACTTTAAATGTTCAAACATGTGCTCTCGAAATGTTCAAAAAGATTCTTAGGAAAACAAACTTGCCCCATGACTCAGATCATCGGTGAGCATTCAATCGGAACATCATCGGATTTGAACTATCCTGAAACCATAAGAGGCTCACGAAGACGCTCCGCAGGAGAGAATTGACGTGCTTCACAAAACAAACTCTAGGTATGTATCCCCTCGGGGAACACCTTTCGTGATTAGAATTTCATATTCACTCTTTCTGAATGTTCAAGAGGGTTTCAACTATCCTGAAATCATGAGAGGCTCATGAAAACGTTCTCCAGGAGAGAATTGATTTTAGAGGGGGGGAGGGGGG